CCCGGGCCCGCTCGCTGCCCTGGGCTGCGCCTGAAGCCGGCCCGCCCGAGGGCGCTGAGGTGGGGTTTGCCGCCTGGGGGTTTGTCCCCCCATCCCGCTCCTCGCCTGGCTGGGCCCCGCCTGTGCCCGGGTCCTGGTGCCACTGAAACCCCAGTGCGGTGTCGGCCAGCGATGCCCACGGGAGAGATTTGCCGCCTTGCCCAGCGCTGCCCGCTTCACGTTTAAGCAGAGTAACGGATAGAATTGAAACGGACTCAAATTGGTTTCACTTTTGGGTGCTAATTTCTGCCGTGTCTGGGTTGCGGTTATGGCCTCGAGGATTTGTTTCAAGCAGTTCCCACCGAAATTTAAAATTAAGCAGGTCTTTCAAAGGGAATCCCTTGCCTTGACTGAGGAAACGAAGAGGATCTTCATTTTTCTCTTGAGGCCGTAGCTATTTCCATAGATGGTCTTCTAACGAGTGATTACTCAGAAGAGAGTTTGTTATACTCAGGATTTTAAAAATGCGTGAGCAGTACAGTAGCAGTTGTTATGAGGCCTGTATTTAGCGGAGCTATATTTAAAAGTCTTCATAATCCCGATACCTCTGGTTTTTCTGCAGTTGTTCGGTTTGTATTCCAGGAGACCCATGTTGAAACGCCCAGCACAGGATGTGAAATTGTGACAGGGCCTTATGGCTGCCTGCTAGAGTGACACAAGAAGCTGATATTTTCCCAATAATCTTTTGCAGCTTCTGACTTTCTTTTCCATTTACATTTGGCTGGAAGAACAAGGGACATGTCTTTCTTTTTAAGTCAGTGCAGCTCCGTGAATTCGTTGTTTGGGTGCGGATGGAGAGGTCGTGTAAGATTATTGAGACGTTTTAAAACTCACCTTGATACAGGACTTCCATAAGGTATTTCAGCTGCACCCCTGGTAGATCTGACTTGATCTGTCTCAACTTCCCATTGAGAGATGTTGTGAGAGTGCAGTTAAGTGCAGAGAATCGGCTGGGCGGCCCCTTTTGTGTCACGTCCCATCTTTTTTCGTACTATTCTAGAAGTTCTGCTGCTTTATTGGGTCTGCAGAATTGGAAGTGGGAAGTTTGTACTTCAGGTAATGTACAGCTAGGGAAGAATAAATAGGTGTGGCAACATACATACTTATTAAGGCATTTGATGACAGATGTATTTAACCTGCTGCTAGTAGGGTTTTGTTTGTACCTTTCCTTTTGGCAAAAGCTCTGAAAATCAGTGTATAACTTTTCAACGTGGGTACATGAACACTGAGCCTTTGTAGGCAGCCCTGAATTTGGATTTGAAAAATCCAAGTGAGCAACTCCATTTAAATGCAACTGTGAGCTGGTCCTGCTGGTAGCTGATGTGGCTCTGTATTCTTGGTGATAGAGTCCACCCTGTAGCTACTGATTAGGTTATTAGACTGTCCTTTTCTGCTAAAAGGAGCAGGTATGTCCAGTCCCTTTTAGTAATATTACAGCGGCACTGCAGTGCAGTTTGTATTGTACTTTTTTGATGCTAAAAGTTTTGGGTGTGGTGTTGTCTACTGGGTACAGGGACAAGGGAAAGATCAATCCCTTGAGATTTATTTATGGTCACCAATTCATGGTGGGCTTTGGGCAAGGAGTGTAATGATCTTACTTATTTATAAACAGGTTTTACAAATACTTTGTTTTACAAAAACCTTTAAATGTGTGCATATTTGTTTGTAAAACGTGGATCTGTTTGCTTCTCTTGGAAGTAGCTGAATTCAAAGGTGTATGTCCAATCTCATTAAAAATGTCTAGTTGTAGAATAAATGAAAAGGTAGCATGCGTTAGCTCTGTATTGCTATAAAAGGCCGCAGGGATGATTTTTGGAAATGAACAAGAAAGCCATACACCATCTAACAAATGGGTTGAAATGCTTAAAAATTAGAATAATAAAACACCTGGAAGGAAGCTATAGGAGAGTCTAACAGTATGACTTCTGGAAAGGAAAATTGTGTACTACTCTGAGAATTCGTAGAACATACAAATAAAGGAGAACCCGTTGACTTTAAGACTCTCAAAAGGCCATGACTGGGTTTCTTGAGGGGTGAAAGCTATGTCTGTGCTATAGACAGCACGGTATAGGCATTCTTGAGCTCGCTTGGGTATTGGAAGTAGTATGGTTGTGGCAGCAGGTAGCTCTGCATGGGTTAATATTCCTGTTAAACAGCAAGGTACATTAGCCTGGCAGAGCTTCATGCTGCCATGTCAGCTAATGTACTTTGTTGCTCAGTGAGAAAATTAGCCTGTACAGCGCTCCAGGCTGCCCCAGCTATAGTTTCATGGATTCATAGATTGTTAGGGGCTGGAAGGGACCTTGTAGATCATCAGGTCCAGTCCCCCTGCACTAGGCAGGAAATGACAATTGGGGTCAAGTACCCCAGCAAGGTGACTGTCCAGTCTCCTTTTGAAGATTTCCAGGGTAGGTAGCTGGCTTGGGTATTGTCTTCGGTGCAGACGACCCTAAGACAGGTGTCAGCAACCTTATGGGGTTAATGGTCCAAGTTAGTGCAGCGCACCGCAAGTGAGGTGCTGCCCCACTTTCCAGTGCTGTGCTCCGAAACTATCAGCTGTGCTCCGAGCCCTCCAGCTGCTCCCTCTACCACTGAATTTCCACCAGTGTTCCCTGTCACAGTATTGCCATCAAAGGCCCTAAGTCAGTGGTCAGCATCCAGTGAATCTTGATCCACTGGTAGATCTCAGAGCCTCTTGAAGTCAATCTGAGCCTGGGATTGGGGGCTGAGTGCCCGCGTGCATGCACATGCGTGCCCCAGCCCAGCAGGTCAGTTTGTGGTGGGGGTAAGTGGCAGGGGCTAGATCAAGGTCCCTGCGGTGAGGGACAGTGCTGCAGAGGCAGGAGCAGGGGTAAGTTGAGTGGGGCCCCAGCCAGATGGGACTTGCCTGTTGGGGAGGCATGCCCCCAAATAATTTTTTTTTCCCTCTGCCTCAATGTGCACCACCCCCCTGTCCCTCCCCACGGACTTATCTGCTGGGTGGGAGGGGGGAACGGGGTGGTGGTGGCAGATTGTAGATCTTGGGTTGCTTTTAAATGCGAAAGGTGATCTACTTAAAAAGGTTGGAGACCACTGCCCTAAGTCATGTGCGGAAGGGCCTGATGATATTCTGGTTTAAAAACTGGCTGAGAGAGAGAAAGATAGAGCAAAGTAGAATTAAATAGTAAATTTCTGCAATAAAAATCAAGCAGCTTGGTATCCATGAGATCCAATGCTGTATACTACATTTCTTAATGTTTATACAGTTTCTGATCTGAAAAGTGGGGTGAGCAGCAAGATAATTGCTGATGACAGAACGTTGCTTTAGTCAGCTGAACAGGAAGGGGACTGTGAAGAATTTCTAAGGGACTTAACTGGGATGGGTAAAGTGGCACCATGATAACATATAGAGCTTTGTATTGCTTAATGCAGAGTAATGCGCACTGGAGAGACAAGTTTTAGAACCTTTTAAGGTATGAGTTAAGTTTTAAAATTATTTTTCTGATAATGAAAGAATTGGGCATTGTTATAGGTAACTTGGTTGAAACCTCTCAATATGCAGCTGTGATCAAGAAGAGCAAACAAGACATTAGAATGTATAGGGACTGGGTCAGAGAATAATGCTGAAAATACGTTGCCGTTGGATAAATCAGTGATGCAGTTTCATTTGCAATGTTATGGTATGGGATTCCCATCTCAGAAGAGATGTACAAGTGGGGGTTGGAAAAGGGTGACATAATTCAGGATATAACAAGGAGAGATCAAACAGGTTGGCCTGTTTTACCTTAAAACAGGAGAGGATATAAGAGGACATAAAATAATGAATGCTGTGGAGAAGGTAGATGGGAACTTCTTTCTGTCTCGACACAAGAAGGAGGGATACACTGAATTAAATTTAAAAGGAAAAGGACAACTGATTCAGAACTGATAGAAACCAGGTAGGGTTTTTTTTTCCTACACAAAAACCTGGACTTGCTGGTACAGGGTGTTACTTTTTAGCAAGATCTGAAAAAGGATTAACTGTAATCATGTGTATGTGTAGCAAAGAGTAGTTACAGTTAATAGTGACAAATTGTAGGTTTATTCAATTTTACATTCCAGGGATGTAGCCAGTCTCTAATCTTCAAGGTTCAAGATGAAACCTTATGAATGGGCAGATTACCCCACAGCTGCTGGCTGAGGTTTCTACACCTTCTGAAACTCCCCGTGTTGGGTGCAGAAAGAGACAGTTACTGTACTAGATGGACCTTGTCTCTGCTCAGTATTATGATTCTTGTTAATCAAGAAGACTAATTTCAGAGAATCTAGTAATACTTAAGTCAACAATAACCATGTTTTGGGTGTGGTTGGGAGAGGCAGTGTAAAGAGGAATGAGATGCTTCTCACATCAAACTTCCAGTTTTGATCTCTTTTGCCCCTCAAATATTAGCTTGAGATGCTGTCCTTAGTAAAATAAATTCT